TCCTCTCTCAACGAGGCAGGGGTTCCACCCAGAAAGCCCAAACGAATGATCGGACAGGTGTTCACTAGAGCAGATTTAACCCTAAGTGTTTTAGCTAGACAAAATCAGTATACAATTACTTTAAACAGCTCAAAAAAAGTTTGCTTTTTATTTCACGATAAACACACATTCATATAAAAGAGTAAGCTCAAATTTCAAAGCATAGAAAGTTTAAGTATCATGATCCCAAACCACTCATGAAGTGTCCAAAGAGAGAAAAGGAGATACTCGTTAAAACGTCCCCACAGGTGGAATTGAACCCACATCTGTGCACACATAACCCGTTATACCATAAGAACCAAATATTTTCGTTTAGTCTTAGATAGCTTTATGATAAAGTATGACGCTTGCGCAGCGCAATAAGGTTATATAAGTGCCGAAGACTAAAGATGTTACAAGGGAGTAACAAACACAAAAAAAGGAGGATAAGGAAGAAAGAAGTTTGATAGGAAAGAAGGAGCAAACCACACCACAGCACCCACCAGCCACCCACCAACCACCCACCAGTCACTATTTTGAACATAAAAATCTCTTACATAAAATATCCAAAATTTCTGAAATACCGCAAACATCTATAAAAGTGGCATCCATAGTAAAAAAACAAGAGAAACAAAAAGTCACTCCGGGGAGCTGAGGGAGAGTAACATGTTGAGAAGCAAAGACAAAGCAAGCCAGTCAGAAGTGATTCACAATCTAGAGGGTCATAAATACTTGGTGCTCAGATCTACGAAAAGATACAGATTTCAGAGAAAAATACAGCAGAAGAAACACTGAACAGTTCATAAATTGTGCATGGATGGATGGGGATGGGGAGGAATGGGGGGGGAGGGAATAATTAAACATGCGCACAGAGAATTACTTGTGTCCCCAAACAGATTTTGAAATTCATAAGTATAACAGCATCACTTTCCAAATAGGCCTTGTTTTTTTAAACTTTATTTAAAGTATAAAGTGAAAATTTCTTTTTTTTAAATTGTGACAATTGTTCTAAAGCAAAGGGAACCATTATTTTTTTCAGCATATGTGATGAACATATTTTCAGTAAGCTATCAAATAACTAAATTTCTTAACTTGAACTTAAACATAGCATATCCACCTGAACACTACATCTGTCAAAAGAATGCTGTTCCAGACAAATCAGCTCACTTGTTGCCTTAACATCATAATCCACTACAACTAAAAGAACATTTTCTTATGACACACTTGCTGGAAAGAATGGAACTATTCAAGTAATGCGGTTTACCTTTTTGAGGCTAAACTCAGTCTCCCCATAGTTGATATAACTACCTGTGACCTAAAAATCCAAAGAAAATGCATGGAACCGGGTGCCGAAATAATATGCAAACTTACAAGGTAAAAAGACAAACACATAAGAAAGGACAAAAGAAGAGGACCAAATGTGTGACGGATTCATCATTTTCCTGGTTACAAATGGATTAGAGGTGGGTCTCCTCCACAATCAGTGATGAAAGTGAGGGAAAAGCTATTGGTTTAGAAAGAAAATTACACTGAAGACTTTGGATCGCATCCGTAGCAACGGCACCGACGCCTGGAGAAACAATAAGTTGTGTTGAGCAGAGTTGGGAGTTGCTGGCAAGTCAGCAAGACAACAGCCCCTCCCCACCCCACAAAAAAAAATAAAACCAGGTTGAGAGAACTTACACCTGTTATACATAGCAGATACGTTATTGAGAGATCTATTTTTCCCAGCATAAAAGAAAATTGGTCAAGGTAATGTATCACCTCCACATATGTCTTCTCGCATCAAAATTGTAAGACATAGCTGTTGTGCACTCAGTCAAACAGTTTTAAAAGAAGGGGGCTATACATTACTTTTACCACAAATTATGTATCAAAGCAACAATACAATGTCTGTCATATTGCTTAGAAAATGTTTTTAAAGATTTCTTTACTCATGAAATGACACACAAAATAAGTATCTCAAATAGTCATAAATCATTCCAAACTTGATATCTTCAAAGTGCAAAACTTGAGTGTCATCAGTTAACAAAAATTTGAGAGAAGAGAAAGACACAAATGACATTTATGTGACTTAAAAATGTGTATGTTTATTCTGAAAGTGGAGAACATGGAGCATCATAAGAGCATCCTGCCCACACACAGTCCAAATAAACAGTTCTGCCTCAAGACAATTCTCTGTCCTTTCAGTCCCCGAGATGACTGAACAGAGACAAGAAAGATCTAAATGATCTGGACACCTTCAACCCTGAGTGAGCGCTCATTTGTTTGTCTGAGTAAAGAGAAGCACATCGACACTACAATGGTTATTTAGTACCAGGAAAAACAAAAAAAGGACACGCAGAATCAACCGATTAAAAGAAACGAAACAAAGACCATCCGATGACCCCCCTCCAACCATCCGCTTGAGAACGTGACTGCAAGTCCCCTTGTTAGAAACGTGTATACAAATGCAAAACATTTGGTCCTCCCCAGTTGCTACTCCTCCTTAGGGCATCAATATCAAAATTAATGCCCATAGAATTTACTAAATTTGACACATTGACTTTTTCTTAAAAAGCAATTATCTTTTCAGTTCACAGATATTTCCTAGTCTCATTTCACTCAAAATATTCCTGTGAGAGTAGAATTTCACAGGAAGGTAACAAACTAACACTGAGAGTAGCAGGAGAATTATCGTATCGGAAAGATTGCTGGTCTTCAGTCTTGTAATTCACTTCATACACACATTCTTTATTCTTTGATATGAGAAGTTCAGTCATTTCACACAGGCATTTCGGACTTGCATTGTCATGGGCAGTGCCAATAATAACTAAAAGCAAAAGTTGCACCTCAAAACAAGCTCAGTCATGTCTAGAGAGGCAACAGCAAAAACACAGATCAAATTTAAATGGAGGGTTAGTTTTAAAATTTGAAAATTTGCCTTATTTATAATTTCTCATCGACACGTAGCTCATTAGTAACTGGTGAAAAGTATAAGGTGATGGAGTTTGATAGCGCACTGGTAGCTTCCTCATCCAGTGGTCAGTCTCTCCTCTCCCCCTCATCAACACTAACTGGGCAATGAACACACACTGGACCATTTCTGAGACATCACTGAAACCAAGAGATCAGGCTCAAAGAAAATAAAAAGTCAGTTGGGTGAGTCGCTTTTAGTTGAGGCGAGTTCTCTAAAGACGAATTCAAAACAGAAATAATCACCAGATTTTAGTGTCTTTCCCGGCACTGCAGAACCGACTTATCACAATGGTACTGACACAAAAAGAATACAAAATCATCCTCCTCCCTCCTTCCCTCATCCCCCCTTCTTAAAAAACCCAGCAGTCTATAGATTCAGAAGAAATGGCAAAGAAGGCGAAGAGCCTCAATCACATGACTAAGATCTCAGATTCAGAGTAAAAAAACAAGGCAAAGAGTCTCACTTACATGACTAAGATCTTCTCAGATTCAGAATAAAAAAACAAGACAAAGAGAGCATCAATCACATGACTAAGATTTTCTCAGATTCAGAATAAACAAAGAAGGCAAAGAGCCCCACTTACATGACTAAGATCTTCTCCACGGGTTTCCTCAGCAGAACACAGCAGGCGATCTCAGAGCCCTCTCTGTTGAGGGGAGACTTGTGCACGACCTTTGCACTCTCTTCCCCCGGGACGGCCGCGCTGACCGACAGTTTCTGCGTGCCTCGAGGTGGGAATCTCAGGTTCTTTATCTTCTCTCTGAGAATCTCCAGTTCTTCCTCTCTCAACGAGGCAGGGGTTCCACCCAGAAAGCCCAAACGAATGATCATGTTTGGTGCCTTTGAGGTGAGGCGCAGGACGCAAAAGTAGCTTGGAGGCTTTTCCGGATCTCTGGGAATTCAATGAAACAATTTATAAATAGCAATAGAATAGTTCCACAAAAGCGGTTTGTTCAAATACTAACAAAGATTATTACTTGGCCAAAAATCAAGAAAAAGGGTCACAGAAGCAGTCGACAGACCGCTCTCTGTATATTGTATGCCAGAAGCAACCATGGGATAAGTTTCTAACTGTACAATAAAATTACATTAACTGCAAGGGGATAGGGAATGTAAGTTAATGGTGAGATGCTGAATTAAACTGAACAAATCTCTAAAGACAAAGTAACTAGGTTGAAAAGTAGAACAAATGACAAGAATTAAGCAATTATCCCTAAATGGCATCATCAATAAATGTAAAAGCATCTACATCACCCGACACATGACAACAACTACAACAACATTCTCCTGTAAATGCTTGAAAAATGACTTAACTCAACTCAACCCAACTTTACGAAATGAGAAGAAAAAAAATTGGAGAAATTCATTTTTCTAGAAACGGTGCCCATTCATAAATGCGTGTGTTCCTGGCGAAAAGCCCTAGCTGTCGGCAAAGCTATTTTTGAGCAAAAGGAAAGGTCCAAAAGTCCTGCTTGATCAAAATTTTGTTCAATCATGAAACACGTTTAACCATTTCTTAATAACATGTTGAAAGGATTTTATATTTTATGTAAAAAAAGTCTTTTAATAAATATACTTCACCAAAAGGTTAAAAATATGCTAGAAATTTGGTTAACATACTACGGTTAAGGCTGTTTTTCTCCAAGCTTTGTTCTTACACCCTGTGTTCCAAAATGTGGTATAGCTTTAAAGCTACTCAAGATGTTTGAAAAATTTTTTCATCAGCATGTTCGGCATTGAATTTGTACATGAATATACCCTTATTTTAATATCCAAAATTTCCGACAACTGGTACCTTTCTCCAGGCACACACAAATGTGTCATGACGCGGTGGAATCAGGCACTCGTCAATTCTTGGGCATGTCATTGGTATCATCTAAAAGCTTATTCATTTGCCTTGCTTTCTATGAAAAAGCACCCATCTTTCTTGAATAGAATTCAAAATACTTCCAATTGAAAGAGGCGGGGGTAGCATGGTTTCAGAGGCATTAGCTAGAAAATGGCTGCCAAAGTTTGTTAACTTCAAGAGCTTGAGAGTCCATGAAAACTGAAAATTTACATATTTTGCAACATTAATCAACGTTTGTCAGTAAAATTCACATGAAAGTGTGTTTTTATATGGACATAAAATATGATGCGCAAAAAACAAAAATTCGATAAAATTTGGCAAACTGGAGGAAAAAATGCCTGTTTCTTCGGTTTCATTATTTTGACAAGCGCCGGATTTCACATGATGCTTCCAAATTGTTTCTTTTTTTTTTCAACAAGACAAAAACGAACTTCTGCAGGAACTTGATGTAGGAGTGGTTCTCAGCCAGGACGAAGGAGCTCCAGCTGCGGAGCAGCATGCTGAGCGAGGCCTGGGCCTGACGACACTGGATGGAGGAGAAGCGGGAGCTGGCGTTGGGCACCTGGAAACACTTGGGGAACTGGCGGTCGTGCTCCAGCACCAGACCGATGCGGTGGGAGTGGAACCACTTCTGCCTGTCCTCACGCAGAAGAATAAAGACAAAAATAAACTTTTTTTTTAGAACTTGTCATCATGCAGAAGAATTGAGATATAAACAAACTTTTTCATTAGAACCTGTCATCATGCAGAATAAGAGAAAAAAAAACAAATTTTTAAAATTAGAACCTGTTATCACGCAGAATAAGAGAAAAAAAAACTTTTTTACTAGAACCTGTTATCATACAGAGGGAAACAAGAGAAAAAAACCCAATATTGTTACTTTGTTTAAGTAAGAGTTTTACAGCACTTGCAACACAATAAGGTCATATGAGGGCCAAAGATTAGAGGTGTTACAAGAGAGGTACAACACTAAAGAAGGAAAAGAGATAAAGACAGTATATATTTGATAGGAAATAAGGTGTGTGTGTGTGTGTGTGTGTGTGTGTGTGTGTGCGCGTGTGTGTGTGTGTGTGTGCGTGTGCATGTGTGTGTGCGTGCGCGCTTGCGCGCATAAGTGAGGGTGAACAGTGTTGATAAAACAAGATGTTTTTTGGGGTTTTTTTTAACACACACCTCTATTGGTATGGCAGTAGAACAAGTCCAAAATCAGTAATTATAAAAAAAATTATAAAATCAGTAGATTTAACCAGCCCTGCAGACACAAAACGGACCATTGTGGAAGCTGCTGGCTATATCCAGCGAAGTGTCAATGATTTAGAGGTAAAACATTAAGGAGCAGAGTGCTGAAAAAAGAAACAAGAGACCCAGTGGCCACTCACCAGTTGTTTGTGTCCAGTTGGATCACTGCCTTCCAGAAAGTGGCAAATTTTTCCATGGAGCTGAAAAAGAAAACAGTTGCAACGATCTCTTTCAGAAAAGTACACTGACTTTTATACTTTTGTTTTTTCTTTCACACAAATTGTCCCTCCATGTGTCTATTTCATATGAAGCTTCCAAACACACCGTCCCTCCATATGTCTATTTCATATGAAGCTTCCAAACACACCGTCCCTCCATATGTCAATTTCATATGAAGCTTCCAAACACACCGTCCCTCCATATGTCAATTTCATATGAAGCTTTCAAACACACCGTCCCTCCATATGTCAATTTCATATGAAGCTTTCAAACACACCGTCCCTCCATATGTCTATTTCATATGAAGCTTTCAAACACACCGTCCCTCCATATGTCTATTTCATATGAAGCTTTCAAACACACCGTCCCTCCATATGTCTATTT